CATTGGTCATTAAAGACCTTCCACCTTGACTCACTATTAAAAACACTGTGATAAGGAAAAACATTTTATTGTCACAAATATTTTTTCCCTGTGGAAACTGGTAACAGAACATTCTCTGTTGTTTAATTTTTTTCTCCAGGATCCTTTGAAAGTTTATGAAACTGATGAGTTGTTTTCAGTGCTGAATCGTGAGAGGTTTAGTATTATCAATCTACCTAAAAATATAAGGATGTACCTTGAAGTAGATTCAAGGTCATCAAAATAATTTATCATGAGCACATCATCTGAGAGTTTATTTATAAATTAGCATGTATCATCTTGCTTCCTCTTAAGATAAAAGCAACACAAACACACACGCTCAAATGCATGGTGATTAAGTGGTGCTTGTGTACAAAGATTTTTTTTTTAACTTTATGTATCATGTTTGAGTTTTGAGGGTGACTCCTGGTCCCAGTCCTTAGACCTGAATTTCTTTGTCTTCCACCAGATACTCTGTGACTTTACAGACACGTGTTGGGCTCGTGCCAGGCTGATTTTGCCCTGCAGAGTGGAGCACCCAGCTATGAAGCTTCACAGTTGCAGATACACAGTCTCCTTGATCATTTTGCTGTCCTCCTCTGAAGGTTTGGTTCAGCAGTAGAATGCTCTCCTTTGTTTTGTTTCCTGTACTGTTTCCTCCAGGCAAAACTTGGCATCAGGCAGCTCTGTCTTGGCCTCCATCCAAGCAATTTAGTACCACAAGCTTCTCATTATAAGATGGGTTCACCTGTAGGATGGTCCCATGGTCTGGATACTGAGCCCGCATTATTATTATTAAGACACTGCTCCTGTTCAACATATGTTTGCAGCATAGACAGTTAATTTCCCCATATACAGACCTAGAGAGGTTCCTTGAGGGCTGGCGCTTCTTTGTTCTTGTTGGGAATTGGGAGAGCAGCTAGCTAACTTTCCAGCTGTCCCCTTCACATTGCTGTTTAAAATGAGAGATGACAAAGACCACAATCAGAACAAGCAAATTGCCAGCATGTCTGTTCCTCTGCTGGAGAATGGGCCTTGAATTGCTCTGCATCTTTGAGAAATCATTTTCGTTTGGGGTCACTATGAAACGATGCTTACGGTCCATATAACTGTCCTTTAGTTTGAAGGGTGATATGGGTTATCTCAGCCCATTGGTATCACCCTACTGTAAAGCCGATCTTCTTTCAGGTTGAAAGAGAAAGATTACACACTGGGGTCACTCTACAAATGTTTTGCATCAGTGCCAAAGCTGCCTTCATGTACTGAGATGTTTAAGCACCTCCAGACCTGTCGCCAGCCATCCGGGCTGCTGGGAACACTAAATCAATCTGTTGTATGTGGAAAGCTAAGTCATTTATCTGTCAGGTAGTATTTCATTTAAAACATATTTCTGTGCAAAATGAAATACGTAAAAGAGTCTATTTTCCTCCCTAAGTCTGGCAGCTCCCATTATTTCACGGATGAAATTGTCTTTTTAATGGAGCAAGGAGGTCCTTGGGCTCATTGGCCTTGGACTTCCTAAGGAGCTTCTATCGACATCATTGCAAATGTCCCGTGGTTGTTAGAGGTGCTTGAGTCCTGTCTGATTACTGACTCTCTCCCAACCTACCCTTGAGTGTCACTCAGAGGAACACTCATTTCAGAAGGTCAGTTGAGGTTTTCCATGGCGACCTCTTGACAAAGTATCCATCTGTTTTCCGATTTGAAGCCAGAGCCCTCTTTCATAGCCTTATACTGAGGGCTGGGCGAGCTTTTGGAAGCCTTAGTTTATCTCGCACTCAGATTTTTGCTCCCGGACTCTCCAAAGGAGGACATGCCTTCTGGCACCCTGGGGTCTGCTGGCAGATACCGACTCAAGCCGCACAGTCATGTCGTACACTCTGCCTGTGCCTGTTCTGTTAAAAATTTTCCCCTTTTCAATCAGAAATACCAAGCAGGAGCTGGATGAAGCATAACTGGCTCTCTTCCACCATTTCTGTATTTTTTTCCTACAAACGAAATGAATCATTTGTAAGTTGATGCATTTAATATGGGGATCGTGGTCTGGTATCATTTCTCCAGACCTGGAATCTGATTAATGACACACCATTTCAGCTGAATTTATGTCCCTATTCACCTGGGAAAATGCAGTTTGTTCTTCCTTCACAAATAGAAAAGGAACTGCATGGGAATCGGGTTTCTCATACCTGTGTGTGCCAAAGAGGAGACAGAAAAGGTTTCCTGGTGGGGTGGGGGGAGAGAAGCCTTTTTGTACATTTGAAAATAGTATTATTGAGTCCTAGTCCCAGACTCTGTATGCTATTGGACTGGTTTTTACTCCTTCAAAGTTGATCTTCAAGATGCTCCATGTATTGAGGTGTTCAGGCAGCTGCCTCCCCAGGTACCAGGCCATCCTGGGCATCACCAACTTCTCTCCCTTCTCTGAGCTCCCTCCCATCTCAGGTCAGCAAAACCACTGGAGCCTCCTTGCTGGGCATCCGGAGGTGACTGCAGCTTTAACTACATGGCTACAGAATTCTCTTGTGGCTCAGCTGGTAAAGCGTCTGCCTGCAATGCGGGAGACCTGGTTTCCATCCCTAGGTCGGAAAGATCCCCTGGAAGAGGGAATGGCTCCCCACTCCGATATTCTTGCCTAGAGTATTCCATGAACAGAGGAGCCAAGCAGACTACAGTCCATGGAGTCACAAAGAGTTGGACACTACTGAGCAACTAATGCTTTCACTATATAATTCAGAGAGAGTTCCGTACAGATGGTGCTAAATTCCCATTCTCTACATATTTCTAAATGTCAAAAAGAGATACTGGGATCATTTCTGTGCTTCATCTGAGCAGGCACGGTTGACTAACTCTAAAGTGAGACCTTAGGTTTGTAGGCACACAACTTCTCCAAACAGGATCTGATGGCTCCAGGCCCCAGCTCAGGGCTGCAGGGCAGGACACCCTAAAACTGCTCCAGGTCGTGAGTGCCCTGAGAGCCTGAATCAGCGGAACCCAGAGAAGGGGCTGATCCAAGCTCATGGCACGGCCCCTGGCTGCTCCTGACAGCGTTGGACCATGGCTGGGAGCAAGGAAAGGCCATTTCTCTGCTCTCTGACCTTCCCCAGAGCCTTGTTCCGAGGTCTGCCCGTCAATCCCCTCGGGGCACCCTGGTCACCAGTTCCCCGTCTTGCCCACCGCACGCCATCCTGGCGGTGAGCCCTGACGGCTCTTCAGGGGCGGGAGGACATGTGCTCAGCCCTCCTTCCCTACCCTGCCTCCTCCGGGTCACCCATCACCGCGCCTCATCCCTTTCCGCCCTCCACGTCCTCCCACTCTCCGTGCTGGGCGTTTACCCCCAGGGGGCCTGTTCACACAAGCAAGGGCCTCTGTCGGGGGTACTCTCTCCACTGCTGCTCCCGCCCACCACTCCCCAGGCCTCGGGCAGGACCCAGTGGCTCATCGGCCTGAGCAGCTGATTCCTCGGGTCCTCCAGCATCACTGCTGGCCTGGGCTGCCACCCCCGGGCACATGCTCCACCTCTGCGTGGGCGCCTTGGGGCTCCTCTGGGCTTTCCTCCTCTGCCCTGAGAGACGGCACAGCTGATCCCAGTCCGCTCAGTTCATCAACATGTATTTTCAGAGCACACACCATGTGCCAGGCAATGCTGGGTGCCCAAGGTGGCATGAACAGACATGAGTCCCCAAGCCCTGCTGGGGTCTCAGCGCTCTAGCAGCTGCTTTGGGAGATACACCCAGGGTTGCCCTGATTTGGCTTTGCCCCTGAGGCCAGACTCCGGTCTGTCACCTTGAAGTTGGTTCCCAAGCAGTGGGATGGAGTTCTGCACTGTGTGGATAGTTGGGCACAGGCCCCTCTGTGCGCTACCAGTGTCCTGGAGAAGGGGAGAGGTTGGGGACAGTAATCGGAGTTGGGGGTGAAGCAGGTATTGGACAAGGATACAGGCTTTCCTGCTGAGAGTCTGTAAGAGTGTCAGAATGTCTCTGTGGCTTGGCCATAGCCTCTGTGAACCTGGTCAGACTGTTCACCAGGATATTTGGCAGCTGTCTCTTTGGGTCCTGTGTGTTAGCACACGGGCGTCCCGAGGCCTGGAGAGACACTGGAGCCTGGCTGCCTCTTGAGAGGTGAGAACCCCGCTAGGCTGATGGAGGCCACGGTGACCACTCCCTGCCAGTGAGGCCCGCCCTCACTCCTGTGAGCAGTGGCACTTCCTAAGGAGATGGGCAGGAAGACGTGCGAGATGGGCAGGAAGACGGGCGATGGGATACGCTTCCTCCCACAGACTCAGTATCTTGCCGTCTTAGCCCTTCTGCTGGGGAGCGACTTGGCAGGAAGCCTGAGTCAGGAGGAATTCTGCTCTCTGTGTCAGGACAATTTCGTCCAGGAGGCAAGCTTCAAGGTTGGCATGGATTGGCAGCCAGTTTATAACAAGGCATAGTGGCTCTTCCTATTTTTAACTTTTTTTTTTTTTAATGGGAGAAGCAGAGCTTTGAGAGGAAAAGTTATGATCAGCAGACTTAATTTAGAGTAAGCATGAAGCACAACCCTATGGACAGACCCACACCACGTCTCCACTTATTTAACCTTATCTGGATGATTGAGAAAGAGCAAAACTAGGTTTATTTAATCTACAAAATCTGATCAAGTCAGTAGCTATTAGGCATTTCAAGGTTTTAGAGGACACTAACTGGATGGAGTGTGTCTGTGAGCAAGTGATGTGTGTGGGCACGTGTGTGTGGGCACGTGTGTGTGTACTGTTGCTCAGCCCACACAGCTCTTCTGCAAGCGGGGGCACCAGGTTTCCTGAAATCCAGAGAGGGTCCCTGGGAGGAGCTGCAGGGGGGCTTTCCTGGAGGACCTCTTCATCCCTCTGCCCCTCACACCCTGACACCACATGCATTTGTTCTCATCCAGAGGGCAGCCCTGAAATGCAGGCAGGAAGAGAAGTCTGATGTGGCCGTAGACACCTGATGGGCTCCAGCCCCCAGCCGCGGGAGGAGGCCGCCTTTCCCCCGCAGCAAACACAGCGCAGCTCAGGACCACTGCCCGTCAGGCGCCTTGGCAACTCAGCGGTCCCCCAAGGCCTGTTTAGCCGGAAACAGCAGCGTCGGGCTGGCCGCGTCCACCCCGGGAGCGCAGGCCGTGAGCTTCGCTCTCCTCGGTTTGCATTCCCAGGTAATGGTCCTCGCGGCGGTGGCAAGGCCGCTCATTGGAACTGACATTCCGTGATGGGCTTAGACAAACACGGGGGCCTGGCCGGCCTCCTGGAGCCCGTGATGGGGACTGACCCAACGTGGTTATCGTTTGATTGAAACGATCAACTCATTTCCCATAGGTCACGGGATATCAGCCAAGATCCAAATCGGAAAGGACGGGGCCTCATTGCATGATTACCGGCAGCGGCCCCAGCTGAGTTCCAGGATGCGGGCTGAAAAATGCTGTTTCCTCCTTTCACGGCTGGAACGAGCGAGGCGGAGGCCTCCAGGAAGCGCCTTCTCACCATCTCACCAGGCTGCCCACGGTGGACCCTGTGGCCGGAGACACCCTTCCCCTGGAACTGAGAGCCCTGTGCAGGTTCAGCGGGGTGGACCCCCATCTCCCCCCGCCCCCATCTCCCCCCCGCCCCCGCCAAGAGCTCGAGGAAGGGGCGTGGCTGTGTAAGACTGGGAGAAAGCAAATGAATAGTCTTCTTGGGGTTGCACTAGCCGTGGCCAGGACCACAGAAACTTCATGTTTCTGCAGGCCAGAGTCCAAACTTAAGGTGGGTGCTTCCTTGGAAGGCGCTGGGGATGGTCTGTTCCCAGCCTTGCCCCCAGCTCCTGCCTGATGGCCTCAGGCTTCCTTGGCTGGTGGGTGAATCACAGAAAATGCATCTTCTGTCTCCACGTGATGCTCCCCTGTGTCTCCAGGTTGGCTTTCCTGCGTCCACATCTCCCCTTTTCATAAAGGCACAGGTGCCATTGGATCAGGGCATGCCCTAGTGAGCTCAATTTAACTTGATCACTTCTGTTCAGACCTATTTCTGGATAAGATTGTGTTCTGAGAGGACAGGACTTAGGATCTCAACATGTGTTCTTGGAGGGATGCAACTCACAAAGGGAAGGAACCCAAAGGAAGTGAAATGGGGACCTTGAAGAGACATCAGTGCCCTCGGCTCCCGGCTGCCTTATTCACAACAGCCAAGCGGGGAGACCCCCTGAGCATCCGTCCAAGCATGAAGGGGTTGTGTGTGTTACATGAGAGTGTTATCCAGTCTTCACAGCCAAAGGGGGCTTCCCAGGTGACGCGAGCAGTAAAAACAAAAACAAAAACAAAAACTGCCTGCCAAAGCAGAAGATGCCATAGACACTCAGCGTTTGATTCCTGAGTCAGGAAGATCCCCTGGAGGAGGAAATGTCAGCCCACTCCAGTATCGTTACCTGGCAGGCTACAGTCCACAGGGCTGCAAACAGTCAGACATGACTGAGCGACTCAACGCACACACACACGAAGGAGATGCTACCTTGGAACAAGAAGGATGAACCTGGAAGACCTCATGCTGAGTGAGATAAGCTAGGGACTCGAGGAAAGAAATACATGATCTCACTTGGGTATGGCATCCAAACAAGCTGACGACACAGAAGTGATGGGTAGAACCTCAGTTTCCGAGGGCGGGAGGCGGGGGAAATGGGGAGCTCTTGCTCAGGGGACGCAGAGGTGAGGCTCTGCTGGCTGTTAAGTCTAGAAAGCTGGTGTCCAGAGTTTCGCTTGCCAAAGTCTGCCGGCAGCATGTCAGCAGCTATGTGTGAGAAATACAAGCTGGTGCCGTGGCAAGGCTTGGGATTGATGAGGAGGGATGCAGAGGCCGGCCTCACCTGGAGGGTGGGGCTGAAGGACAAGGAGGATGCAGGACTGTGCAGGGGGCCCAGGGCTGGGAACTTCACCTGGCTGCTCACTTGATGCTTTGCTTCTGATGAAGCATTGTTAGGAAACAAACCATCTCTCCTCACCAGTCCTCATCTCTCGCATCCCCTTCTCCGTTTTCCTTCTTTGCGGTGGCCAGAGGACTAAGGACCCTCAGAGGCTGCTCTCATCACCTTGCTGAGTTCCTTACATCTGGAGGTGGGTGGCCCTGTTGACAGAGTCTTTGATTTAGCCATCAGTAAGCATGATTCTGAGTATTTCTTTTTTCAGCTCAGGTTTTTGACCTGCTGACTCTCCTTGGTGTACAAGTACATGTGTAAATAGTGGCAGGCACCTGTGTTGTTCTGCTTTGGAAAAATGTGAGATGAGCAATGTAACCCAATGTACGCTGGTTTGGCTCTCAAAGTGGGTACCATTGCCCCTAAAATACGATTTAGACCAGTGTTTTAGAACGGGATATGTCAGCTGGTTCTTTGCAAAACACAGGACAGTTTATTGAACTAAGCGAAGCAGGTAGGGAGAGACGAAAATAGAAGATATTGAGAAGGTCTTCCTTATCAGGGATGAGTTCCAGGTTTAATTTTGTTTTCAGGCATAGATGTGGGTCAGAATAGGAAGTTCATGGCCATGCTCTGTGCCTTAAAATAGAAAGAGACTTCTTGCCAGCAACGCTCAGCTTTTGTGAGCAGGACCCCCACAAACACACCAAAGTCTCCTTGGGTCTTAGAACAACGCCATGTGTACAGGGCCTCCATTAGTTGCCTCCAGGACGAGCCTGGCTCTTGAGGGTGAGCGTTCAGGATGCTTTCTGCATCCCAGAGATTCAGACAGCTGATGGACTCAGACTCTTGCCAAGAAGATCCGTTCACAGGTTTAAAAAATCCTGTAGAGGACTGTCATCTCTGGAATAAATTTCTCCAGTGGACACAGCAGGTGTGGGGCCCCTTATTCCTTGGCCAGCAGGCCCGGGGGAGACGAGGGTCCAGACGAGGAAGATGCTCTGGGTGGGGGAGGGGGCCGGGAAGGAGTGCCGTTCAGTGAAGGGGTTTTAGCCCCGCTTGTTCTGAGGTGGCTGTGGGAGGTGGGGAATGCCCTGGGGTGGCTGCATCCTTTACTGTCAGGGGAGTTTGGGTCGGCCTGTCCCCTCTCACAGTGCCATGCTGGAGGCCGCTGCCCACGCCCTGCCCTCCTCAGGGTCTCCAGACACCAGTCACTTTCCAGGGGCTTCTCCCAGTGACCGTTTCTAAGCCAGTGACCTTCTTGGTAGAGAATCACGACTGATGTCCAGCGGCCCCTTTCCAGGCTGATCCGTATCGGGCCCCCTCTTCTGTTTTCTCTGGTTTCCAGAACCTCTCTAGCCTGCCCCAGAAAACCCTCTCTGAACTGGGAGATGAGATGGTTGGATGGCATCAAAGACGCGATGGACGTGAGTTTGAGTAGGCTCTGGGAGATGGTCATGGACAGGGAAGCCTGGTGTGCTGCAGTCCGTGGGGTCGCAAAGAGTCGGACATGACTGAGCGACTGAACTGAACTGAACTGGGCTCTGGATTAAAACCATCTGTCAAGATCCTCTCCCTGCCTCTCCTACCCATCATATCACAGGGGGACTCTCAGTCCTGGGGGGACCACAGGCATCACCTTTTCTGCCTCCTCCTCACGTGGACCTGGCAGGTGTCCTGGGGTTCACGGGGCTATGGAAGGCTCATGGTTGGGACTCAGACCAGCCTTGAATGGGGGCCTTTAAGGAGAATGGTGGACATCCCTGATTAATGAACAAGCTGTGTAACACATATGAGCTTGTACGACATGCAAGCCTAACACCCTGGCTCCAGCCTCCGCATTTCTTCCCCAGGCTGAGTTAAGGCCCCTGCACAGGGTTTTCATGGTGTAATCTAGTTCCGTCTGACATAAGAATTATCCCTTTGTATCTTAGTGATATTGACATGTCTCCCTTTTACTAGACTGGATGCTTTTTGAAAGCAAGAAGCCCATCTTCCATTTCCAAAGCACTCCCTCTGAGAGTGAGCTCACTAGAGGGAGGGGTGTGGGAGATGACTATCTATGTCCATTTATCTCTCAGCTCAGTACACCTATTTCCAGGCCATTCCTCACCCATCTTGGGCTTCCCTTGTGGCTCAGAGGGTAAACTGTCTGCCAGTAATGTGGGAGACCCGGGTTTGATCCCTGGGTTTGGAAGATCCCCTGGAGAAAGAAATGGCAACCCACTCCAGTATTCCTGCCTGGAAAAATCCCATGGACAGAGGAGCCTGGTAGGCTACAGTCCACGGGGCCGCAGAGTCAGACATGACTGAGAGACTTCACTTTCACTTTCTTTCCTCATCCATCTATATCTTTTTCTACAACTGTATTTGTATCTCCATATTTATATATCATCTTATACTTCTATATAATGTCTATATCTGTATTTATCTACATGTAATCTATATCCACCTATAGCTGTACTTCTGTGTATGTGTATCTACCCCATTCATTTAGTTCTATACTTAATTTATCCTCTTATACATTTTTGTAAAGTCTTCCTCTGCAGTCTCATTATAGACACATTTCTGGAGCACAAGACCCAGAACTGGAAATCATGACCACACTCACTTTCTCTCGGGAAGCACAGAGATGGTCCACCTGCTGCCTCTTATTCCGTCACCTCTTCCCTGGATTCTCATCCTTCCTGCATCAGGACGATATAAGTGAGCCACTTGGGCTGTGTGAAATGATGGGGCCGTTCTTACACCTTGCTCCTGGAACTATGTTTTCAGTTGCAAACAAGTCGTAGGACTGATTTTCTCGTGTATGGACTTAAAGATGACTTTTATGTGATGTTGGCCTTCTTCCCTGTGGTTTACATCACCTGTGTTTTATGTTAGCACATCTCTCCAGTTTAAAACCTCACCAAGAACACTGACAATAGCTCTGGAAATCTGGAATTTCTCATAGCACAACTATGTAATATAATTTAAAGGTTCAATTCCTTTGATAAAATGAGATGCCCAAGAATAGCATCTTGCACTATGATGAGTGGGAGCAGAGGCCATACTGAGTCATTCAAATGCAGCCTGCTCACCTGGTCCCTGAGTGTAGCCTAGGACTTCAGTGAGAAACACTAGAAGGGAAATGTTTTGTCTTTCTGGAGACCGCTGGCATTCTCCAAAGAAGACCTTCCAGTTTTTATGAATCTCCTCCAAATTCTTACCCTACACTTCTTTTCCTCGAGCGGTACCTTTACCACTGGCTAAAACAAAATGTCAGGAGAGCTTACCAGCAAGCATGCAGTGAAAGCAGCCCACTCCTCTTGTTACCAAGTCCAAGATTTTGCCGCTTACCACGTGAAGGGTCAATAAATAGGGAGAGAAGTTTTGGGGGCAAGGAATAGGGACTTTATTCAGAAAGCCAGCAGATCAAGAGGATGTGTGGACTCATGTCACAAAGTATCATCTTACCTGAGTAAGGTAATAATGAGGTACTAATTAGGGTTTTTTTAATGCTAATAGGGGAAGGGATGTGGTTGTTTGCTGAAAACTTAATGTCAAAATCCTTTGTTCTTGTAGCTGCCGTGATGTTTCTGTGAACCCCCAATAAGACAAGTACTAGTCTGTGTTCTGCAACTTTTCATCTCTGTATGAACGGAAAAAGCTATTATACCTTCAAAGGTCAGAGCCTTGAGAACGGGCTCTCCTGTATGTTTCAGGCTATTGGCAGCATTCTTAACACAAAGGAAAAGCAGCAGAATATAAAGGTTAAAG